CAATAAGATTTTCTTATTCTACTGAGAATGTAACACATCTTTGAGACAGATTTCTGGAAAAAAAAAAAGTTGGCTTCAATGGATATACTACATGCCAACCAACCTGTTGCACTCTGTAAGTCCAGTAAAGTTTCTTGGTCCAGTGAGTAGAAGTTGACTTTACTAGTGAAGTAGGAAAGCTTCCTTTAAAGGCCTTTTTCTTTGCTCAGCTGGGAACATGCAGATTTAGTAACATGCAGATTTACTCTGAGTAGGAAAGAGCGGTACTGTAGAACTTGATCTCTAAGGCGATTATTTCATATAACATTGAATTTTTCTGCACATAAAAGAGATAGTGTATGAATAGAAAATGTATTATGAATAGATAATGAAAAATTATTTCATTATCTCAGTTCATGAACATGAAAAGTAATGAATCCTGCTTACTGATCAAGGCTGATGTCCACTATATCTACTAGGATGCAGTCCGACCTAGAATATTCTTCTTCCTCAATGTTATGACTCCAAGAACAGATGTGCCAGAAAAGAGACTAACCTGGATTATGCAGCCTTTTACTATGGGCTGTGAAGGCAAAGTTGTAAACTTTGTTGCATGTGGACTTTTTTGCCTCCCTACCTCTCAAGCGACCCCTGGGCCTTTTCCTAAAATCATTTTACTGAGCCATTGCAGGCCAGTATAGTTCACCAGCTAGTGCTGCCTTGTGAAAGCTGGCAGCAGCATCACATCATCTAAAGTGCAATGCCAGGACTATGTCCTGCACCAGCCTCCCACCCTCCCCATTTTACCTGCAATCATCATTCTTTATTTTTAAAGTATATGTTTATGTTTTCAGAGGGGAAGGGAGAGGGACAGAGTGATAGAAACATCAATGATGAGAGAGAATCATTGATTGGCTGACTCCTGCACGCCCCCTACTGGGGATCAAGCCCGCAACCTGGGCATGTGCCCTGACAGGGAATCAAACTGTGACCTCCTGGTTCATAGGTGGACACTCAGCCACTGAGCCACACTGGCTGGGCTATAATCATTATTCTGGATCTCACTCTGTAGCCTGTAGCTATACTGGTGCAGTGGAGAAGGAGTCCCAGAATCTAGAGGCACTTTAGTTCACATGCTGTCACTAACTGAGCTATCCTGAGCAATTTAGTCGATCTATCTGTGTTGCTTCTTGACTGTGAATAAGGAACATCGACAGATGTTGTCAGGATCAAATGAGAAAATTGAAGTGAAAGCACTTTTCTTTTCTTTTTTTACTTTAGAGAGAGGAAGAGAGAGAGAGAAAACCTTGTTGTGAGAGAAAAACATCGATCGGCTGCCCCCTGTATCCCCCCTCTACTGGGGATCAAGCCAGTATCCCCCCTCTACTGGGGATGACACGCAACCAACCGAGCTACATTGGCCAGGGCATAAAAGTACTTTCAAAATAAATGCAATGGTCACAATAAGTTTTCAGTTCACACCCACCAGGATAGCCATAATAAAAAAGACATAAAAAATGTTGATAAAGGCATGGAGAAATTGGAACCCTCACATATTGCTGGTAGGATTGTGAAATGATACAGCTGCTTTGGAAAATAGGCTCTTAGTTCTTCAGTTAAACATAGTTGTCAAATGACCCAGCAGTTCTGCTCCTAGCTATGTGCCCAAGTGAAATGAAACATACATCTACTCAAAAACTTGGACATGAATGTTCACAGCAGCATTATTCATAATAACCAAAAAGTTGAAGCATTCCAAGTGTTCATGGAATGCTTAAGTGCTTAAATGGAGAAATAAAATGTGGTATATCCATACATTTGTTTTTTAAAAAACATGACGACGTCTTTATTTTATTTATTTTTTGTTAATCCTCACTCAAGGATATTTTTCTTAATGATTTTTAGAGAGAGTGAAAGGGAGTGGGGAGAGAGAGAGAAACATAAATGTGAGAGAGATATATCCATTGGTTACCTCCTGACTGGGGCCTGGAATCAAACCTGCAACCCAGGTAGTTGCCTTTGATCCGGTATCAAACCCATGACCCTTAGTGTGCAGGCCAATACTCTAACCACTAGAAACATTCACCAGAGCGATACGATTGATTAATTGATTATTAGTCAACAATAAAAGTGTATGAAGAAATGATACATACTGAAGCATGAATAAAAACATTGTGGTAAATGAAAAGAAGCCAGTCATAAAAGGTCACATATTATGATCTCATTTATATGAAATATCCAGAATAAGCAAATCTGTAAAGATTATAAGTAGATGAATTGTTGGAAGGGCTAGAAGATAGGGGGTGGGGATGGGAAGGTGGACTAATGGATGCTAATGGATCCAGGCTTTATTTTGGGAGTTATGAAGTTCTAAAATTGATTTATTGGAATTCTCTGTGAATATACTAAAAACCATAGAATTTTATAACATAAATTGTATGGTGTGTGAATTTTATCTCAATAAAGCTGTTATGGAAAGCACATAGGTGCAATGCAAAGGCCATTGGTTTTCTGCAAATGACCAAACAGAGCTGAACTCCAGCAAGGATCCATTCAGGGCTTGGTTGACTTACTTCCAACATCTGAGATCAAGATACATCTTCTAATTGAGAACATCCCATAATCTGCCCACCAGGCCACACTTGTCATTGCCTGCATGTTCATGAACATCAAAAGCACCAGTGATTAGATCTGGAAAATGGGTGTCAATTGCTTCAATAAAGTCCCAGAAGGAAGAGTGAAGCACTCTTTTAACCCTTAGGAACCAAATGTTTATTGGAAAGGGAGTCAAGAAAATGGTAAGTCCTCACATGCTTGGCAGTAGTCTCAAAGGAAAAATAAAAAATAGACTCCAAAGGACTGAGCCCCAGAAGCCTTTGGTACTTGTGGATTCTCTTAAGAGAGGCTATATCATCAGTACCCTTGATGGGACAAGAGATGGCACTGAGTGAATAAGTAGTGACATGGACTCTGAGTCAAACAATGGCTTTAGAAGTCTAGGGCTCTGTGAATACAACTGAGGAATATTTTAAATCAATGTATTTTGCCTATATTTCACTTTTTATGCATGCAAAAGAGTAGTAAATGTCTTTTAAAATCTAAGTGTAAAAGAGTGGCCTTTAAAAGTATAAATTAAACATTGTAAGTGATAAAACGTCATCTCATAGTTTAATTGACAGCATGTTTTCTCAATGCATCTTAGAATTAGAGTTTTATATTTGACCAGAAGCCTGGTGTATGAAATTCATGCACTTGGGAGGAGGTTCCCTCAGCCCGGCCTGCGCCCTCTCATAATCCGGGAACCCCGTGGGGAGCAGGCCTAAGCCATCAGTCAGACATCCTTAGTGCTGCCACAGAGGCGGGAGAGGCTCCTGCCACCACTGCTGCGCTCGCCAACCCTGAGCTTGGCTTCTGACTGAGCAGCTCTCCCCCTGTGGGAGCGCACTGACCATGAGGGGGCAGCGTCTGCATTGAGCATTTGCCCCCTGGTGGTCAGTGCACGTCAGAGCGAGTGTTTGAGCGATCTAAGCATATCATTAGCATATTATGCTTTGATTGGTTGAATGGAGGACCAGGCACTTAGCATATTAGGCTTTTATTATATAGAATTAGGGGCCCAGTGCACGAATTAGTGCACCTTGAAAGGAACTGTGGGCCGTGAGGCTGCGGTGGGCACAGGGGTGGGTCTCAGCCCATCCTTTGTGCCCCCGCCTGGCACCTCCAGCTGTGGCCCCTGGTTGCCTCTCTGCTGGCGGCCCCGCTCCCACCACTGCCACCACTCCCACGTGCTGATGGCACCAGCCCTACTCACACCCGCTGATGGCACAGAGCAATTGGGGCCTGCACCAGCAGCAGGTGTGAGCGGGGCTGGCAGTGTCAGTGGGTGCGAGCAGTGGCTGCTGCCCTGATTGCCCCTCAGGGGGAGGTGGAGAAGCCCTGAGGGGAGATTGGGGCCAGCCGCCACCGCTTGCACCCACTGACAGCACTGAGCGATCAGGTCAGGTGCCGGGTGCTGGCAACATATGCAAGCAGGACTGTCACCAGCAGCAGGTGCAAGTGGAGGCTGCCAACCCAGATTGCCCTTCAGGGGCAGGGTGAAGTGGAGAAGCCCTGAGGGGTGATTGGGGCCAGCAGCAGCCGCTCACACCTGCTGACGGCATCAAGCGATCGGAACCGGCGCCGGGCACCAGCAGTGGCTGCGAGTGGTGCCTCCAGCACTGGCTGCAGGTGCAAGCGCCAGGTGGGACCGCGGCACGTGGGAGCAAAGAATTTTCAGTAACCACCAGAGGCTTGCCCCTATGACAGCAACCAGTGCCCCGCCTTGGTCTGGTGCCCCCGCTCACCTGCTCCACCATTCTGCTGCAGATAACGCCCGCCATGTTCTGCGCACATCCTTTGGTGGTCAGCACACGTCATAGTGTCTGGTTGTTTGGTTGTTCCAGTTGTTCTGCAGTTTGGTCTATTTCCATATTAGCCTTTTTTTTATATAGGACTAGAGGCCCGGTGCAAAAAATTTG